CTCAGTAACTGGAGTTGCAGGAGGTGCGGGTATGGTTGGGTCATATGGACATGGTTGCTGTCTCCCATACAGTTAGACAAAAACAACAATTGAAAAACCATCAAAAAAGTAAAAGCAAGAGGACAAAAAACACATACCGCATAAACACACAGGACCAATCACCAAAAAGTGAAGAAGAAAAAAAGGAGGAAAGGCAATAAATGAGAAAAAATATTCAAAGAAATACTTTAAAAAGCCAAAAGAAATATAGATAGAAAAAGAAGGGAAAGAAAAAACAACAACCACAGTTTCTGGGGAGGGGGGAATAAGAGAAAAGAGGTAAAGTAGGAAAATAATGATGAAAAAAATGGGAAAAATGAAAAAAGAAAACCAAGGAATGGGGAGAACCACAAGAAAGAAAAAATGGACAACAGAGAAAGGAAATAGAGAAAGATGAAAACTAGAACCTCAGAAGAGACAAAGAAAGATAAATTTGTTCATTCTTCTGACAATCCCTGGTATATCAATACTCTTCGTGAACACCATTGTTTAAATGTGTTATTTCTTGAGTTCCAGTAAGATGGTAGAATAGGCAGACAAACCACACAGACCCTCTTCAACAAAGAAAAGAGAAATAGATGGTTAAAAAACTGTTTAACAGACTGTTAAAAAACAGACAAAAAGAAACAAACTGAAAAAAAAAATCTGGGTGAGGTGGGGCAAGGCATCCATGCTCCATCAGAGCACAGAGACTGGGATGGAATTCCTGCCAGCCCAGAAGAAGGGTGTGAGTGAGGCATGGCTGCACCTCCATTCACCAAGAGGGTGTAGGGTATAAGAGTAACAAGGGGAATATAGCACCTTTTCAGTCCTCAGTGTTCGGAATGTCATTGTGGTCCTGGCAAGTGGAGCCTATTCTTAGGTCCCTGGAATCTGAGAGAACACTGTCTCTTTAAATATCCAAAATGGTCAAACAGCTTGTAAACATTCAAAATGGCCGCACCCTCCGGACATCCAAAAGCCCACAGCTCAGCCCGTCTCCCTATTCACTGCTTCCCCTTTTATTCACCGGCCACCAGCGCAATCCTCCGTGAAGCTGCTAGCTAGCAGGGAATCTTTAGGCTAATTCTTTGGCCCTAACATCACTTGGCAACATCCAAGCTGTCCATGCCATCAGGATCGCTGACAGTCCACAGCTCCAGATGTCTCCCTTTTTGCTATTCTCATGCAGGCTCTTCCACCAGTTGGAGTCTAGTCCACTTCTGACCCTTCCCTTCAAAGCTTAGGGCTCCAGGATTATCTTCTGTATCTGTGTTAATTGGTTCCTCTTTTCTTTGCTGAAGAGGGTCTGTGTAGTTTGTCTGCCTATTCCACCATCTTACTGGAACTCAAGAATTAACACATTTAAACAATGGTGTTGATGAAGAATATTGATATACCAGGGATTGTCAGAAGAATGAACAAATTTATCCTGGAAGATATAAAGCCAAAATGCTCCTTAGAAGCAAAGATGATGAAATTTTGCCTCATGTACTTTTGGACACGTTATCAGGAGGGATCAGTCTCTGGAAAAAGACTGTCATGCTTGGGTAAAGCAGAGGGTTAGCGAAAAAGAGGAAGACCCTCAAGGAGATGGACTGGCACAGTGCCTACAACAGTGGGCTCAAACACAGCAATGATTGTGAGGACGGCACAACATCAGGACGTATTTTATTCTGTTGTACACAGGGTCACTATGAGTTGGAAACAACTTGACTGTACATATCAACAACAATAAGCTTTGTATTATTTGTGGTCTTGTAACTCCCCCCCCAGAAATTGGGTGGAACTATGCAAATAAGGTGCATATGGTCCTCCGAGTAGGACAGTTAGTTTTGCTCATCCAACTAAGGTGAACGGAACACTTGTGGGAGTGGGACCATCCAAATAAAGTACATGTAACCCTTGTGCTATTGTGAGGCTGCAGGCTATGCCACTGGTATTTCAATACCAGCAGGGTCACCCATGATGGACAGGTTTCAGCGAAGCTTCCAGACTAAGACAGTCTTGGAAGAAAGAAGGGGCCATCCACTTCTAAAAAATTGGCCAGTGAAAACCTTATGAATAGCAGTGAAACACCACCTGATATATTAATGGAAAATTTTATGAATAGCCTTGAAACACTGTCTGATATAGTGCTGGAAGATGAGCCCCTCAGGTTGAAAGCCACTCAAAGTAAGACTGGGGAAGAGCTGCCTCCTCAAAGCAGAGTTCGACCTTGATGACGTGGATGGAGTAAAGCTTTTAGGGCCTCCAACTGCTGATGTGGCACGACTCAAAATGTGAAGAAACAGCTGCAAACATCTGTTAGGCCGAAGCAAACCCAAGCCACCAACATTTCAGTTAGCAGCTTCCTCCGGGCGTCAAGCCCTGATGAGACAGCCTGATAAGACAACGGAAGTGACAGAACCCGCCCAGACTGGAAAGTCCCATGCAGTGGCAAGCTTCCTCTTGTGAAGCCCCCTCATGCTAATTAAGTACAGACCCATGCTAACAGCTAATTGGACCCCACTATTTCCTTAGTGTCCCCACTTAGGTCCTCCACAAGGCTATAAACCCTCCCCTCCCCAGCCAGACGGTGCAACTTCCCGGGCCCCTCAGGGACCCGTGAACCTCGCCCGGGCCCCTCTCGGGGACCCGTAAACCTCCCCGGAAACTCAGAATAAAAACTTCTCTTTAACCTCACTTTTGTGCGTCCTTTTCTCCTTACTGTGGCCTTACAACATCCTTTAATAATTAGAACATGGAATGCATGAAGCATAAATCTAGAAAAATTGGAAGCTGTCAAAAATGAGACGGAACTCAGAAAACTGATATCCTAAGCATTCGTGAGCTGAAATGAACCGGTATTTGCCATTCTGAATCAGACAACCGTATGATCTACTATGCTGGGAATGACTGAAAACTGCCAGGAGAACTAACAATTCTGTCCTGGAAGAAGTACAGCTGGAACACTCCTTGGAGGCGAGAATGGCCAGACTTCATCTCATCTACTTTGGTCATGTTGTCAGAAGGGACCATTCCCTGGAGAAGGATGTCATGCTTGGTCAAGGGGAGGGCCAGCTAAAAAGAGGAAGACCCTCAATAAAATGGATTGATATAGTGGCTGCAACAATGGGCTCAGGTATAGCAGGGATTGTGAGGCTGGCGCAGGACTGGGCAGCGTTTTGTTCTGTTGTGCATAGGGTTGCTATGAGTCAGAGCAGACGCAATGGCAGCTAACAACAGCAGCCTTTGTTGGGGATTGATTTGCCATCCTGGTAGGCTTAAAATGAACCAAACCCAGAAGCTGGGGTGGGGACCTCACTACCACCAAGAAGAGCCAAGAGTAGAGCATGTCCTTTGGACCCAGGGTTCCTGTGCTGAGAACCTCCTACACCTAGGAGACAGAGAGCTGTACCACTGAAGACAGCATGAGATGGCAGCAGCATCAGACCAACAGGCAAGGCTCGCCGACCTATGGAGTGAGACAGTTGAGCACTTCTGGGCAGGAGGCTTTTTGGTGCGATGGGGTACCTCTGGGCCCTTATCAGCAGAGCTAAAGAGCTGTAACATCTGCCTGAGCAGGGCAGAAGCCAGCCGAGGGCTAAGTGCTAAGGCCAAGAATGAGGCAGGGCCTGGTGGCAGAGGCCTCCCTGCAGACATGGCAGAGAAAAAGCTGTCCTGATTGAAAAAATGTATCCTGAGCCATTCTTATTACTTCCAAGTTGATTCTAATCTAAATCGTAACCTGTTACTTCCCCCAATAAACCACATAACTGTTGAGTATGGTCTATGAGTTATATGTGGCCATTGCAATGAATTGCTGAACCCAGCAGAGAAGTAGAGCATGATATAGAGAGGACAGCTGGTGTCAAAATTGGTAAAAAAAAAACGGTTGGAGAGTGGAGGTATGTCTGATCCCACCTCTTAGCAGTTAGCTTTGGGCTGGTGCTAATGACGATTCGTCTCCTTCCTCCTGAAGCTAGACGAGGTCTGATAGCCACACACCATTTTTATAGGCATCTATGAAAAACCCATAGCTAACATACCTATGGTGAAAGACTGAAAACTTTGCTTCCAAGATTCGGAACACAACACAGATGTCTGCTCTTGCCACTTCTATTTAACACTGCACTAGAATTTCTAGCCAGGGCAAGAGAGAGAAAGAATGAAAATCAGAAAGGCAGAGGTCTCATCACCTGTTTGCAGGTAAGATGACCTTATACACAGAAAACTCTGACGAACCCACACATACACACAAAAAAACTATTATAGCTCAATTTATTAGTTGAGCAAAGTTGCAGCACACAAGATACACGCCAGACACACCACAAAGGTGCACCTCACACAAGGAAGATGAGCATGAACAAACCGAAAAATCTCCAAGAAACAGAAGCTGTAGGAAGTAGATGAGAATTTAGGGAAAACTGAAACTGAGAAGCTGCTATGACCATCAAATGAAAACAGGACTCCCTGGAAAAGGTCACTGCCAGAGTGAAAAAGAGCTCTTGGAGATGAACAGGACAGCTGCCACGTGACTACGTCACAGGAGGGCCACCTGGTCTCCTAGGGATGCAGTGCTGACTGCAAGGGGGCCTATAAAGAACACAGTCTATTTTCTCACACTTCTGCAGGCAAAAAGTCCAAATCAGGGGTTCCTTCTGTGGGCCTCCCCACTAGCTGCTGGTATGTGCCAGTGACCCTTGGCCTCTGACTTCCTATAGCTCAGAAGTGACTAGGATTAGGATCCACCCAACACTGGAATGACATTAACAAACAGAAGAAACAGAAAACGTGGGCACAGGAAGAGAAACTCAGTGCCTGACCATCGCCTTAGGCCAGCGGCACTGGGCACCAGGGCTTCCTTCTCCTATCTGGGTCATCTGCCCACGAAAGGGCCATTGGTGATCAAAGAAAGGCACCAGCCAATCAGACATTCCATCAACAGACGGGGCTGAGCGCCTCACTGCTCTTATGGTCAAGGGCCACTATACTCATACCTTCCACCTTTCAGGGTAGATGGGAGACTGTGCCTTGAGTCGAGAGAGTCCCCTGAAGTAAAGTGCAGTTGGGACGCTTTTCGTTCACTCTCTCTCACGGGACGATCATCTAGGAATAAAACCCACAAAAGAGCTAACAAATGGCATGACAGTGACAGGAAACAGCCTACCACCACGGGGCCCCAGATGCACAGTGACATGAAACAGCCCACATGACTGGGCCCCAGGAGCATGGTGACATGAAACAGCCCGTGTGACTGGGCTCCAGGTGCATGGTGACATGAAACAGTCCACTACAACTAGGCCCTAGGCTCCTGGTGACAGGACAAAGTCTGTATGACTGGGGCCCAGGTACACCCCCAGGCATCCTCAGGAACAGGTGGCCTATGCTGAGCTCCGCCTCATGCTTCCCCACAGGCCACACAAGGAAAGGGGCCTGAGAAGTTCAGGAAGGGGCCGAAAGTCAGAGAGTAAGGGAATGGTGAGTCCAGTGTGACTGAGCAGCTGGCCTGGTGTCTACAGCCCTAACCCTTGCTGGCACCACCTCCCTGTGCTCTCTTTGCTTACTGGGCCCCCTTGCCACCCCTCCCTAGCAGCCATCCTACAAGCATCAGTCCTACAAAAAAACACAGGTACTCTTGAGGTGCACGTAAACTGAAATGAACTCAAAGCCACTGATGGTAGAAAATCAATTCCCCTGTTAAGAAAGAACCACCCTCAGGATCACCCTTAGAGCCTGATCCTGCTTCAGTGGAGAAGAGCGTGAATGCAGTGGCCATTCAACTAGGGTAAGCGTGCACCTACCGAGCTGTCTGAGGTTTGGGAGCATGTGCACAACAAAAAGGCGGTAATCAGACTCATTCTTTACAACGGGGTTCAGCCGGAAGTCCACATCCATGAGCTCCAACAAGGAGTGGAGCCGAAATACTTCTGCTAACGAGGAAATGCAGTTGTAGTAGAGGTTGAGTCTCTCCAGCCTAGTCAGGTACTGGATGCCCTGTTAACAGGAAGAAATACTGTGTGAGTGCATGCTACGATGAATAAACGGCAAAACGGGCCAGGAGCACAAACTGGCCAACCACCTGACACAGACACTAGTAATAAACACACGTTACTGGAAACAGAATCAAAATGGGTCATGAGTACAAACTGGCCAACCCACCTAACACACATACACTCGTAATAAACACACACATTATTGGAAAGAGAATCAAAATGGGCCATGAGCACAAACTGGCCAACCCACCTAACACACACACTCATAATAAACACACGTTACCGGACAGAGAATCAAAATGAAACGTATGCTCAGACTGACTTCTGTTTTATACAATGAGATGACCATGCAGGGAGGTTTGAAATACCATGTTTGCACCAGTTATAACTGCTGTGGCCACTAACCTTTACTGAGTACTCAGCACGTGCCAAGTTCAGTGATTACCGTCATTCACTTCATCTGCACACAATCCTATCCAGTAAGAACAGCTCTCTCTCACTTTACAGATCAGAGATCCAGGCTCAGAGAGGGTCACAGTGCAGGCCTGGGCCTGCATCACACCAGGTAGGGGCCCTGTGCTTGGCTCCCTCTACACAGTGAAAGTGCCATGTTCCCTTGCAGCTTCTTTCAAAGCAAGAGCACCTCTTCACAGTGAGCCACACACGGTGCTTGCACGCCTGTCCCTGTTTGCCATCGGTCTGACTGACTCCTTCCTCACTCAGCAGAGAGCCTATCCCTCACCCTGGGGCTCAGCAAAGGCAACATGCACCACCTGTCACTCAAGGCTCAGAGGCCAAGGAGCAGAGAACACAGACCTGCAATGCAAAACGAAGAATACACAGCCGACAAAGAGGTAGAGAGCAAGTCTCTAGAGCTTAGTTCTGTTCCCTTTAAAGACACAACTGCCTTCTTCAGTGAGCTATGGCTTTTGGTTGTCTAATGTAATTTAAAGATACGATGGAATGTGTAAGGGATCTCACTCAGGATAAACACAAGAAAAACACACTCCCCCTCCAAGCGCACAGGGGGGAGTCCACACGTGCAAGCAGTCACAGAAGAGACTGCACAACCGACCACGAGTGCATGTTCCACCAGTCACAGGAATGACACTCTCATTAACAAATGAAACTAAAACTTACCTCGAGACTAACCAATGAGTTGCGTGAGAGATCTAAAGATTTTAGACTTGTTAAACTCATCAAAGAATTTCCTAGGTGTGTAATCTTTTCTTGGTAAGTCCCAGGAATTGATAATGATTGAAGTTCACCTAGGGGTAGAAAATAACAAAAATTTAAACTTTTTTTTTATTGAAAGTAAATGTTTGTAATAAAAACCTAAATCCTTAGTTTTAAAAATACAGCAGACCAACAAAAACATAAGAAGCTTGAAAGGAAAGGTAAAATGTTAACATGCTTCCCGCTGTGGGTGATACGTATTTTCCTCAAAAGCAGCTGTATTTTCCACATTTTTTAATAATGAGAGATAGTCCAAGAAAAAGTGATTCAGAAAAACAAGGAAATTCATTCCATGTTAAAGAATAGGTTATTGTGCTTAAGAGTTTCAGCTTACTCTCACTCCCAAGCTATGTCCAAACTCACAGCTTCTCTACCCCACGGCTTCTCACCCACATCAGGGTGCCTCCCTCCCATACCCTCCTAACTGGGGTATCCTGTACCACTCCCAGCTGTCTGACTCCATTGCCTGCTGCAGCCTTTATGGTGGGGGACAGTTAGTGGAACACCCCAGGGGACTGACCTTTCTACTCTTGTGCCACAGCGTATGAGGGTAGGCTGGGTGCCATGCACACAGGTACCCCCATGTGGCATGCACAGTAAGCATTTGTTAAGTACACACTGCTACAAAAACAAACGCTTCCGGGTCAAAAACACAGCCCAGGTGTGGGAACACCAATACCTACATAGAAACATTTATTTTAAAAATGCTCTTGGATTAAATTTAAACCTGGTTTGAGGACTCCCACTTTTGGACACAATGGAGTAGACAACACTTTTCCCTGTCCATCCTATTATATTAAACCTAAAAAAACTTGGACAAAAAACTGACTGACAGACTTGGATGAAGGAATAGGTCATTCACTTCTCAAAGAACTGGCCAGCAAAAATCTTAAACTTGCCTTTGAATGGACAGTAGCTAAAGCAAATGGAAGAAATGACAAGATAAAAGAGCTTAACGGAAGATTTCAAAGAGCACCTTGAGAGGACAAAGCCAATTACTGTAATGAAATGTGCAAAAACATGGAGTTGGAAAATCAAAAGGGAAGAACACGCTTGGCATTTCTCAAGCTGAAAGAAATGAAGGAAAAAATTAAGCCTAGAGTGGCAATATGGAAAATCTATGGGCAAAATATTGAATGATGCAGGAAACATCAAAAGAAGATAGAGGGAATAGAGAGTCTTTGTACCAGAAAGAAATGGTCGATGTTCATCCATTTTAGGAGGTGACAAATGATCAAGAACCAATGGTATTGAAGGAAGAAGTTGAAGCTGCATTGAGGGAAGTGATGAAAAACAATTCTCCGGGAATTGATGGAATACTCATTGAGATGTTTCAACAAACAGATGCCACTCTGGAGGCACTCACTTGGCTATACCAAGGGATTTGGAAAACAGCTACCTGGCCAACTGACCGGAAGAGATCCATATTTGTACCCATTCCAAAGAAAGGTGATTCCACAGAAAGTGGAAATTATTGAACAATATCATTAATATCACATGCGAGTAAACTCTAATGAAAATAATTCAAAAATGGTTTCAGCAGTATATTGGCAGAGAAATTCCAGAAATGAAAGCTGGATTCAGAAGAGGACATGGAACGAGGGATATCGTAACTGCTGTCAGATGGATCTTGGCTCAAAGCAAAGAAAACCAGAAGGATGTTTACTTGTGTTTTATTGATTTTGCAAAAGCATTCGATTGTGTTGCTGCTGTTCTTCTTAGGTGCCATCAAGTCATCTCTGACTCATAGGGACCCTATGCATAGCAGAACGAAACACTGCCTGGTCCTGTGCAAGCTTCACAACCCTTGCTATACTTGAGCCCATTGTTGCAGCCACTGTGTCGATTCATCTCATTGAGGGCCTTCCCCTCTTTCATTGACCCTCCATCTTACCAAGCATGATATCCTTCTCCAGGGAATGGTTTCTTCTAACAACATGACCAAAGTAGTTGAGAAGAAGTCTGGCTATTCTTGCTTCCAAGAAGCATTCTGGCTGCAATTCTTCGAGGACAGATATGTTAGTTCTTTTAGCAGTCCATGGTACTCTTGGCATTCTTCTCCAACACCACAATTCAACTTTTCTTCGGTCTTCCTTATACACTGTCCAGTTCTCACATGCATATGAGGTGAATGAAAATGCCATGGCTTGGGTTAGGTGCACCTTAGTCTTCAAGGAGCACCTTAGTCTTCAAGGAGACATCTTTGCTCTTCATCACTTGAAAGAGGTCCTTTGCAGCAGCTCTGCCCAATACAATAATACATCATCTGATATCTGGACTGCTGCCACCATTGGTGTTGATTGTAGAAACAAGTAATATGAAGTCCTTCATATGACTTCAATCTTTTCTCCACCCATTGTGAAGCTGTTTATTCAACCAGTTGTAAGGATTTTGCTTTATATTGAGGTGTAACCCATACTACAGACTGTAGTCTTTAATCTTCATCCTCGCTTTCAGCAAACAAAGTTGTGTCATCTGCGTATTGTAGGTTATTAATGAGTCTTCCTCTAATCCTGATGCCATGTTCTTCTTCATATAATCCAGCTTCTCAGATTATTTGCTCAGCATACAGACTGAGTAAGTATGGTGAAAGGATATCACCCTGATGTACTCCCTTACTGATTTTAAACCGTGCAGTATACCCTTGTTCTGTTCAAATGACAGCCTCCTGATCTATGTACAGGTTCCTCATGAGTATAATCAAGTGTTTTGGAATTCCCACTCTTCTCAATGTTATCCATAATTTGTTATGATCCAAACAATCCAAACAATTAAATGCTTTTGCATAGTCAGTAAAACACAAGTAAACATTTTTCTGGCATTCTTTGCTTTCAGCCAAGATCCATCTGACTTTGGCAATGATATCCCTCGTTCCATGTCCTCTTCTGAATCCAGCTTGCATTTCTGTAAGTTCTCTGTCAATATACTGCTGCAACCATTTTTGAATTATTTTCAGTAAGAGTTTACTTACGTGTGATATTAATAGTATTGTTCGATAATTTTCACATTCTGTGGGATCACCTTTCTCTGAATTGGGTACAAATATGGATCTCTTCCAGTCAGCTGGTCATGTAGCTGTCTTCCAAATCTCCTGGCATAGCCAAGTGAGTGCCTCCATTGGGGCAGCTGTTTGTTGAAACATCTCAATGTGTATTCTGTCAATTCCTGGTCCCTTGTTCTTTGCCAATTCCTTCAGTGCACCTTCGACTTCTTCCTTCAATATCACTGGTTCTTGATCATACGCCATC